AAATACATGATAGGCTTTATCGGATAAATACATACTTTCTTTAAATTAAATAAAATATAAAAACTCGGTCGGGAAACTAAAATATATCTAAAATAATACTTATTATTTTTAAAACAATTGCTCCCTTCGCGTAAAATATTGATGGGTTTTGAAAACTTTCTAAAAATATGTAGGTAAGGATTTACAATATTGATAGGTTTTAAATCTTTCTAAAACAGTGTAGGTAGGGATCTACAAGCGCTCTTGTAGAAAATATGTTAGGCCGGGTAGGTAGGAAATATATTAAACCGGGTAAATAGAAAATATGTTAGACCGGGTAGGTAGGAAATACATTAAATCGAGTAAATAAGAATATGTTAGGCCGGGTAGGTAGGAAATATATTAAACTGGGTAAATAGAAAATATACTAGGCCGGGTAGGAATTAGACAAAATAAAAATGTAAAGTTAGNATCAAGGCATGTGTCATGCGGCCTTAATCCTAATTAATGCGGCTAGTAATGTTTAANATAGACAGGATAATTTAAAATAAGTAGGATATGATAAGCTTAAAAACTAATGAGAATGCAAATGCACTGATTGATATGAATCACTGCATATGCATGTAGATGTAAGGTTAAATTACATTTATTGTATAAAAATTATAAAAGATTTTAAATAGTAAAAATTAGAATTGTAATAAAACATCAATAAATAAAATTTATTGATGTAAATCGAGGATTTAATNTGCGATGAAAAGAATGGCATACTATAAGTGTAATTTTACCAGAAATATTGACATGGAAATAGTTTGTATATTATGTTATGATTCACATTTATTCCATGATTGTATATTGTGTTATGATTCACATTTATTTGTATATTATGTTATGTATTATATTGTACTACTGTACACAAAAATTGTAAAACAAAACTTGAAAATTGTAATACATTCTGATGTAAAACAAAACTTGAAAATTGTAACACATTTTGATAATGAATTTTAATAAAACACAGTGAAAAGTATACTTCTTGAAATTGCAACTTTTCATATATATATATCTGTGTACCGTTAAACCAAATTTAATATTTTATATTAATTAATATATGTATTTTTTGTATACTTTGTATCTATATATTTAATGTATATATGTAATGTTTTTTTTTTTAAATAAAATTTATAACAAAGCAAATACCAGCAAGTGATGTAAAAGGAGATANCTGATTACTCCATGAATTCTGATGCTGCTTGCTTTAATCTTGTTTTTTTGATCACATATATGTTATGTGGAAAGTTGNAATCGTTACTCTTTCTTTTTTCTTGTTCTCTTTTCTCATTTTCACAGATCGCTCAGTTTATTTCTCGAAATAAATTGAATCGACGCTNGCAGCAGCTATTTACGCACCTGTAGAAGCACAAAAATATAATAACTTCATAATATTTGACAGTAATCAGCAGCAAAACATAAAACTATTGATTAATGATCTAAGAAGATGCTTACTTGATCATACTTTATCCTGTTCCGTAATATTGTCTGGCAATCGAGAATTCCGCAGCTTACAAAAAGTCTTTCGGTTTTACAATCGTACAGTTGCAATAACAAAATTTAGTTCTTCGCGCGCGCTTCGTGGAAAACGCGAACAGCCGTGATACAAATTGCACTGTCAAGCTCGTCGATTGTTGTTATCCCGCAAGTGCGCGATGTTAATCACGTATCAGTAAAACATTTGATAACTAACGACATTCACTTATTTGCGCGCGAGACAAAACTAATCGCGAAAACTACGAACTAATTCGACAGAAGTTCTTCGCGCGTCGACCTATTTCGTTCTTCGCGCTCGTAGGAGAGCAAAACAATTTCACTGTCTACTCACTCGCCAATTACGATTATTAGCGAGTGCGCGATACTAATTACACATTATTGCAAACGTCCGACACATATACGGCAACTGATATTCGGGCGAGACGATAATATAATTGCGAGAAATACGGGACCAAGTCAAACGTAGCTACAATTCCGTTTCGCGCGTCCGCCATAACTGTCCGCTAATTCGAGCGGTATTTCGAGAATCGAAACGCGCGATATTTCGATAATCGAATTGCGTGATATTTCGATAATCGAAATGTCGAATCGACGCGCAGCAAAGCCGCACTTCAGCTAGCAAGCACGGAACAGAATCAAATCAAAGATAGTATTTTTATTCACCGACGTGGCTCGTACGTGTAGTTGATACGCGCAAAACGTGGACATCGCGACGCTCGAGGATGGGAACACGTCGAGGAACACGTCCGGGACAACAAATGTAGCACGGATTCAAATGAACAACGTATGCCTGAAAGTGGGAGTATAGGATCGGACATCGGACTGCTTTATTATTTCAATTTGAATATGCAATTAAATAGTAAGTTTAATATCAACAAACGAATTAAAACAGTGTGTTATTTGCGTTAAATAATTTATTCAATATAACTTAATATTTTAATATTTACAAAGTTTTTTGTATGTACATCTATATAATTTTTTTTCTAAAATTGCTTCTTGTTTTCTGCGAAGCACTTGTTGTGTTTGAGTCAGTTCTTTTCAGTCACATGATAAATTTTATTTAACATAACCTAATTTCTCTTTTTTTTTTCAAAAAATTAACAAAATTAAGATAATGTGGTCACTCAATTATATTCGCAAAGGTGTCCGCAACCAGCTGGACATTGTCGATTACAATTAAACCATTCTCGCATATGGTTTATATGGCCGCCATGTGCACAACCTTGGCACCATACATAAATTCCACGTACTACCTATAAGTAAAAGAATAAAGTAACAAAAGAATACCGAATAAGTTTTTTTTCAACAAAATTTGTTAAATAATTTTTACCTGATTACAAAGAGAACATAGAGCATGCTCGGATGTGTGACAGTGGTCGCACAACCACGCGGATCGTTGCAATGGTTTCGTACATGCTACGCAACAAACATGAATCAAAGTCGATTGTTGATTCAATTGTGATATAGACGGAATCCATGCTAATTCTATTATCTATAAAAAAAAAATGCATTTTTTATAAATTACTACGAAATCTATTTAGAGAGAAATAATATACGCATTTGTTAATAATAAACAAACCTGAGTAGCCACGTGCCAAAGTTTGAATTTACCAAGCATGTCCAAGTATTCCAGTATCCAGTGCTCTTGCAAGGCTACCGGAATCTTCAAGTGTTTTCTCTTTTCTCCTAGAACAATGAGCATCGATACTGTTGTTTGTATATCTCTCAATTCCACGTGATTGCTCAATGCTTCCAAGATCAGAGGTGTAAAATTAAAGGGTTGCCATTTTTGTAAATGTGGTACTACTAATTGAGGTTGATCCTCAACTATAACAGAAGCTGGATCTTCGCCGAGTTCGGGATGATGATTGGGAAATTGTTCCGGTAACGGAGATCGATCCTTGATCTCATGTCGTAAGGGAAAAGCTTCTTTCTGTAACTCCTTAGTCCATTCGTCGTCTTCCATGCGCATCACAATTTGTCTGCTTTCGGCGGGATGTTCCAAAGACACGGGTTCGTATTCGGTTTCGCCAAAAATAAAGTCGCCTTTCGTTGTTGAGGGAATGTCACTGAGCAACGGTCTTCTGTAATTGTGTTAATTGTTTTCTGAATTTTGTCAAATTTTATTATAACATTATTATAACACCATAGAATTTAATTTTGAATAATAGAAGAATCAATTCCTTTATCTACATGATACGTAGAATTTAATAAAGAAAATAACTGTGACATTACCTTAACAACATTGTCGAACTAGTCGATGGTCCTTGAATATTTGGATTGTCTGGTACTTCGGTTTCTGTCTCAGTCTCGTCGTCACCACCGCTCGCAACGCCAGTTGGATTTTCACCCTGAAGAGATTTTGCATCGTGTTCATGACCTGAAGAAATTAAATGTAAATTAAATGTTACAAAAATTGTCACAGAATGTTATTGTAATTTATAAATGTTTTCGCTTACTTGATTGCTTGCTTGCATTTGAATGTTCTACACCCGAATTTTTTGCTCCTCCTGTTGCTATGTTCGAACTAGCAACATCTTCTTTAGGACCCGTTGGAGATATTTTTAAAAGCAATTCAAGAGGATCTGCATACATGATTTTTAGAATTTGCCAGGCTTTGCTAATCTGTAATGTAAAATTTGTTATTATTAAGTATCACATATAGTATTGTACATGCATATAAACATAAATTGCTATAATATTTACATTTTCTTTGCCAAAATTCATAGCAACGCGTGCGTTATGATCACATATTTCATTTAAATTCCCAGAAAGCAAATAACTTTCCGCGGCTATCTTAAACCAAAGCGGCTGACGTATACTCAGAGTAAATCTGTGCACTACACTTGAGGCCATACAAAATGTATCGTCATTTGTTACCGGTGTTCTTCTATAAAAAAAAATCGTTTTTTTTTTACATTTATGAAATTATTTTATATACACCATCTGTTGTACGGTACAGCGATACCATATTTACCTCATTAAATTTGATAGTTGTCTTGCCGTAGTAGCCGGTTCGTACTTTACTTTGCAAGCAAACGTTGCGTCACCTTTCAAATCCAGTGCAACACTTTGCGGGTTTGCCTTGCTAGCTGGTCTTACAGCATCATCAAAAACATGATGATATAAAGTGCAATCCTATAATAGTAGAGATACAGAAAGTGAAAATTACACTGTACACTGTAGCTTTAATCAAAAAAAGAACATTGATTGGCAGCATTACTCTGCTTGTAGAGAGAAATGACTGTGGATTGCCTTTCCAAGCAACACCTGTAGGAACGTCTCTGTGCTCGTTAAAACTTGCAAATGGGATATAGGGTCTGCGAATATCCCATACGTTTATACTGCAATCAACTACCAAGGCGCAACTGGCTATGTGATATTTTTTCTGAGGTCTCCATTTTATACGTCCTACTGATGCTATAGTGTGTATGGTGTAATCACAACTTGGTTTACCTGAGAGATCCCAAACCTATAAAAAAAACATATAGATGTGCAATGTCTCTCTATTCATATTTCTTTCTAAAAATCTAATATAACATCGAGTACTTTGATAGTTTTATCTCTAGATGCAGTAGCCAACCAAGGAGCTTCAGGATGCCAATCGCAAGCAAATATTGGACCGCTATGTGCAGTAAAATGCTGAAAATAACGATCTGGTTTTCTCAGGTCCCATTGCTGTACATGGCCATTCTCAGATACAGCAGCAAATGTATGAGGTTGCTGTGGACAAAACTGAACATCCCTTACTGATTCTGTGTTACTGGAAAAAAAAAATCATACAAAATACATATATAGAAATTACATAATAAATTTAATACATTAATTTTATAGATTAAATTAAGTAAATGCTCTTTCTCTTGAACAATTCTTATAAAAAAGACATTTTCAATCTTGTTATCTTTAACTACTCTATACAGATGATATTATTTATACAGTGTAAAGCTAAATAGTTTTTACCTGTAAAATGTCCTGATAGCTTCTTTTATTTTCAAGTCAAAACATTTCATAGTACCATCTTGAGAACCAGATATCAACCATGTAGGTTCTGTCATGTGAAAACTTACTTTATTTACTGTTCTTTTGTGATCTACAAACACATGCTCTTGTTTTGACCGAGATTGCTTATTTAGGTTCCAAACAACCACTGCACCGTTTGTTGCTGCGGTTGCCAATATATGATCTATAACAAAATTAACAGAATAGTGTAACATAAGACATGATACAAATGTCAAATATTAATTATATATATTATATATTACAACAAAAATAATGTTACCATCATTAAGATTCCAAGCAACATCATTGCAGGAAAAGTTCAAGTTCAAATTTTTTCCAACTCGAAGATTGCAGGCTTCTTCAAATCTATCGTCCAGCAGTGTAAATATTTTAAAAACTACAATATATATATAAAATATTACATATACTCATAAATATGTAACTTTTGACAATATAATAATATATATGTTGAAATATATAAAACTTATTATCAAGCACGTATTTTGCAACATATAAAATTGAATGAAATATTGTAAGTTTATTTAAAAAAATATGCAAAATATAGGATTTATTACACGTTATAAATTGTGAAATTTTATGTACACGTGCGTATGTTATATATTTATATTTAAAAAGAAACAAACACACCATTACGACCGGCTATCACAACCTGGCTGTTATCTTTATTAAGGGCTAAGGCATTTGCAGGTCCTTCTTGAGTTATGTGTATAGTTTTTGACGTCATACCGTATGTTCTTTTTTAAGCAAATAGCTTTAAACTTATTATGTGAGAGATAATATTCACATCATGTTTTTATCTAACTCCATCATTTCAAATTGTAATCATAACCTACGCTACGCAATACACAACACGCGCGCGCACGCTGACGTACACACACATTTCGCGTAATTGACCTTTGTTATTCAGCTCTGTACTAATACACGTGTGTATATAAATATGCATAAACGAGGATATGTAAGAAAAACTTCATAGTCACTTCTAATCCAAGGTTATTTATTGATATTGTTGACAACAATGGAGGATCAAATTCATTCGGAGTTGATTATAAAAGAGGAACAGGATGGTGAAGATAATGACATAAAGAAAGGTCGGTGCTCGACTGAAAGTGGTAAAAGTATCACGCATGATGCGTCGGCGATTGGTATACGACCGAAACCTTTGATTTGCAAGCCGGAAAATGTAAGCTGTAAATCCGAGCCAATTGAAACCAAGTGGCAATGGGCCCCAGGAGCGTGGCAAGACGCGACTAGAACTAGCGCATTTCAGCCGTACAAGGTACTTTTCCGGATTTTTCTTTCTTTTGGGAATGGAGAGTGTATGAATATCTTTAACGTGACGAAATTTCTGTTCTGTGATACTCTGTCATGTCGCTCTCAGCTTTTACAATCAGAGATTAATGACGAATTTTTCTCATTTGGAAACTGATGGAAAACATTTTTGAAACAAATTTTAAACAATTTATTCTAAAACTGTTTAGAAAACATTTATCTAATGACAAATATCTTTGTTTCATTTGAGAAAAGAGTATTTATTTATAGCCACCTACATTACTTACAAATTTGCAAAGAGGCAATACTGAGACGCAGATACATCAACATGCTGGAAGTGACATCACATTTCATACTTTAGCAGGTCAAGGAGAACTCACACCTGATCATATACATTCAAGTAGGTTTTAAACTCATTTTTATAAATCTTCTTTTTAATACACATAATTATAACTTATTTTTATACTGTACATAATATATACAGGCTCTGTGGATGCTACCGACGAAAAAGGCTTGACAGGTTTGATGTGGGCCAGTGCTTACGGACAATTAGGTAGTGCCAGGATGTTACTTCAAAAAGGTGCTGACATAAATATTTGTGGACCAACAATGCAGACCTGCTTACACTATGCTGCTGCTTATGGTCATCATGATGTTGTTAAATTATTGCTGAGTCGTGGTGCTAATCCAAATGCATGTGATTCAGTACGTTATAGAACTTAAAAATCTGTATAATATTTGAAAATTGTCTAATTATTTCTATTATACAGGATGGAAACACCCCATTAATATATGGAGCATTTTATGATCATCCACATGTGTGCTATGAATTGTTAATAAAAGGTGCAGATGTAACAATCACTAATGTTTCAAATTTAACTGCGTACAAAGCAGCAATTCTAAATAATTCACTAAATGGTAAACTTATTTTGAAAATGTAAAAATATTTTTAGCAAATTGATAGATCGTACATATGTTGATCGTTTTTTTACAGCTAAAGCAGTTATTGAGAATCATCTGATACCACAGATTATAAACGCAACGGATGAATTAAAAAATGAGTTAAAATGACAAAAAATTTATTTCACCGTAAGTGTCATTTTTATTTGTAGTTTATCTACTTTACAAAATAAAAGAAGACAATTACAACAAGATATGTATATAATTTTTGTTTCAGAGAAAATGATTTAAATAGGCAATTTATCTGTTTTGTTCTTTCAAGGTAAATTTTATACTTTCTTTTTAACAAATTTTTTTTATACGTATTGACTCACTTGTGGTATGTATCTCTGAGACTGTTTTGAGGATCATATATACATATATATTATATATATATATATATATATATGTATTGTCAACAGTGAACAATTTTATAATACATATACAAATTATATAAAGACCAAGTATCAATATTGACAGATTTGCAGTATTAAATACTTATCGAGATGAGGATGTATGAATTTACAAAGAAATAACAAAATTTGATGTATATATTTGATAATAATACAATTCTTTCCAAACATTACTGCAATACTAAAAAATATATGTATGTTGAATAAAAAGTAAGTAGAATCAATTTTTTATTTCGACGCGACAAAATGATCATTATATATTCTTTTCTAATTAAAATATCTGTTTTCTAATTAAAACATCTGTTTTACAAGCATGCATAAGTATTCGGCACAAAATAACTAAGCATAATATAACAAGTGGAGGACATATTAAGATCAATTTGTACACAGCTGTTCTGTACCCCGATCAAGGCAATAAAATGGTTGGTTACCATCTTTTCAAATGCAACGATTTTATACATTGTCGAAAACATGATAACCAAAAGTTTTAGTTGTCTCAATTGGGGAATACGTCACTGACCCGGAGCTGTGCAAATCGGTCTTTGATGGTGTTCATATGTACATATGTATAGTAAAGGCATGAAATGGACAATAATTTCACAGGCCAGTAAATATACGAATTCTCTATATTTACTGATTTTTCCATGCTTTTATTTAACATATATAAATATAGAACAACGATGTGTGTTTGTTGTTCGTGTGTATACAAGGAATGTGATGGCAATAAAATAAAAATTCAAACAATCGATCTGAATGTTTGATCGTAACGTTATGCCTCCCTGTGTCTATTTCCACATTTTTATATGCGTAAATACTTTGTCTATTTATTGTATCTTATACAACTTCATAATTATCGGTAAAGAATACACTTTCTACTGAATACTTAACTGGGCTGTTGTCTTCTACGAGCAAAACTTCGCTAATCTGGAAAATAACGCGAAATTATTACTTTTTTTTTTATATAAGTTCAAACATCTTTACGTCGTAAATTCGCGTATTATATATAAAAAAAATTATTACCTTAATCTTGGCATACGGCGTTTTGGACGTAAACGAAATGTGAAGTGGGAAAAAATCTGCAGGTGTAGAAGAAGGGGCTGAAAATTCCATCGAACCGGATTTTGTTGACGCATCGATCACCGGTAAGGACCAGGCTAGTGTGTTTCGTCGCGCTTCGTGCGTATATTGCCCATCACATTCACTCACGACAGGATTGCAACCGATAGGCAAGGGAATGTTTATTTGAACGTCATTTAATTCGAGATCGGCCTGCTTCAACTCGTATTCGATACTCACGTCGCAGCCCCCTTCTCCGTTTTCAGAAGGCCAACAGTTTACTACCAAAGAATCAAAGTAACAAAATTATTATATATACAAATATATTATAAATGCGTAAAAAGATTTATTTTACTTGCAATCTTACTTGAAATTGGTAACGCTGTTTCATCCTGAGCTTGGAAACGCCATTTCAGCACGCCAACATCGGTATTCAATGGGAATGGTTTCGCAGGGACTTTCAAACCTATTTGTCCGTGCGCTCTGAACAATTCTTTGTCTACGTTTGGATGTGTTTGTAACTGAATGCCTCTCGTGTCTCTATTTTCAATCTGTACACGAATACGACCCCATTTCTCATCGGAGATGTGTAAAGTTACTAAGCCATGCAGCTCGAAATTTTGCAAACCTCCGTCTCGACCGACACGTACGTTTAGTCTCTCTTCTTGTCTCAGGTGAATCCTTTTGAGGAAAATACATTTGCATTAATTAATGCAAATATGAGTAATCACGAAACTTTTTACGCACATGATATCCATACACATACATTTCTGTGTTCATTATTTGAGGAGTGATTGGCGGTAATTTTGTTCCAGAAGTGGCGATTGGTCCTGACACAACATTTTCTCCCTCTTCCTTCAATTGATCAACAAAAGAATCTACATCGCGAGACTTACCACCTAATTTCATTGCACCTGGTCCGGCATTGATTGGTTTTCTAATGAAAAGTATAGAATAATTATAATAACAAAACCCATGTGTATATGTAATTACTATTGAAATTAATCACATACTGTTTAGGCTTATAAGAAGGTCTAATTGGTTCAGGCACAAAGTTGGCTGTATCACCAACAGTTGGAGTGGCTGGAGTGCTACCGCTGCCATATCCACCACTAAATCCGGGACTTTTAATGCCACCCTTTTTGTTAGCTTCCATCATCCTTTGTTTCTGCAATTCCTTGGCTTTTTCGCGCATTTTGTTCTTAGCCTCACGTTCCTGCGTCATTCTGACTGCTTGATAAACCTTCTCTTCATGTGAATCCATTTGCACAAAAGTTCTGATTTGTGCTAAATTAACATTCTCTCTGTAACCTAACGCGACTATCTCATCAAACGCAAATATCAAATTAAACGCATTCTCCGATATTTCATATTCATCCACTGAGTTGCAAAATTCGGGAATCTGAAAAGATATAAATATTACATGCATATTAGTATTTGTATGTTTAAATGTTGAATTTTTGTTGCGTGTGTATACATTTGCGCGCACACAATCTACTTACAACTCTTGCAAACAGCCTCAAAGTTTCCAAATCTTCCAATATATTACTGGCCTTAGTTGTAATAAGCAACATATATACTTTTTCAAGTGGCTGATAAACATATCTGACAGATTCGGTTTCTACAAATGTGTGTTGTTTGCCCGAGCTCATCAGTTTTGGAAAGGCAGCAAGTAGGCCTTCTATTCTTGCCTTTGTCATCTCGACAAACTGTCGAGAAAGTATAGCTAGAAAAACAATGCGATAATTGTAGTAAAATACTTGTGAAAAAAAACAACTTTCATCACTCAATTCTCTATCAAGTTGTTCTTAAAGATTTTTCTTTAAAAAATAAGACAGCGTAGATAGTAATATTACGTTATAAATCCACATATTTCGACTGTTGTGTGATTAAATGCAGAAACAGAAACCGGGAACGAAACTTGTGCGCGCATACATGTCAAAAGCAGCTGCTAGCGCAATGTTTTGTTTTAACTTACTTTTTCCGGCTTTGGTGCATACTGCAGCGGCAATGAGTACCTGTAAAGAAAAAAGTGCGAGTGTTTCGATTATTTGACTGGCAAATTCTTAGAAAATCACGTTTGGCACGTTTGCTCGCTAATGGATGACATCTGCGGACATCACGAGACCGTCGCGTCGCGAACGAACGATTCTTCGCACTTCGCGCAACTTCGCGAGTGGTTAATTTTTTTTACACGCGAGAAATTAAAACACTTACCATTCTGCCGATCCCGAAACACCGTGTAACTCGTGATTAATCGAAATATAATATTTTTTTTCACTCTAAACTCTCCACATCACATATACAAATACACGATGAAAGAGAGCAGATGGCGCACTCGTGCTGACGTGTGCCAGTAGAGACTCTGCACGACAAGAGAAAGGACGCGTCGCGATTTTGGACGCCATGTTGTGTCGACAACTTAGGTTTCGCCTTTCAATACTCACTACCAGTACTGAAAATCTGTAATATACGTCACGTGGACTAAAGATTTTCAGTACCTGACAGTCTTGGAACAGAGAACGCAACTTAACCTAACCTAACCTAACTCCTAACTCGAAGAAGACTGGCGTGTGGCGTTGGGTGCGTTCGAAAACACAACTGTTGCACAATATTATTGAAGAACTTTTGCTGAACGCTCACTACGTCAAGTAAGCTCTCACTGAACACATTCTACGACCGCGTTCAGCAAAACGGTCGTCTTGTCAACACGCACGAAGTTGGTTCTACAAGTAAGAGCCAATCACGTTCGGTCGCCGCAAAGCAGTTTGTTTTGCTGAACGCAGCGCAAACGATCGGACGCCATTTTTGTGAGCGCTTTTCAGTTTTGCTGTTTCTTCGACTTCGGGAGCGATTCAACTCAAACTGCTCAAAAACATTGTAACTCTGAACTGTTAATTATTCTGAACTTGGTTTATTCTTCGATGCTTTGTCGCGTGATGGAGATTAAACAGCGCTTTTGTCAACTAAATGGCGGAAAAGTGAAATATAAAAGCGAAGCAACTAACATCCTCAATGAAGAAAGAGACAGAGTAAGCTGTGCGTCGCCGTGTCACCAGATAACCGCGATACGGTATGTTTACACATTAATACGCTTAAACAAATATAGTCTCGCAATCGTGTATATGTTATGCAAGCATCCAGAACACAAGATTCTGTTACTTTTTAAAATCAAGATCTCGAGGAAGTCGTCAGCAAAGTTTTTTCGATTCGCGCGCGTCGTTGCGGTGGTGATTTTTTTTTTTTTTCGATAAACAAAGTTTATCGAAGTTTCCGCTTTCCTTTGCGACAAAGTGAACATATTTCATCGCACATCCGTTGACAATATATCGCGTTTCTATTGCAATAAGACACTTTTTGAAACGATAACCCGAGAAAGTCGTCACAAAACGGTGTTTTCTCGCCGGCGTCGTTGCGATCGGTCGGTTTTCTCATCTCACAGAGACAAGATTTTGTTACAAGAAGATTGCGCGTAACTAATTTAAAGTGACACTGTCCGTTTTTCTGTGCCTCAAGCGTATCGCTTATTATTATAATCCGCGTTGTCGGGAACGGAGCAACCGGAGCAAACGAGAAGTTTTTAGAGAGAAATTAAGCTCCGAGTGTAAACAAAGAAATTAATATATGTATCGCCGTTTATGTAGGAGAAAAGCATGAAATGGGAGACACAGTTGGGGTGACGGCTGCAGAGAGAGGCGGAACACCACCTAACCCAATTAGCTCTTGGACTAATTTGATCCAGGTACGTGCTTACTACGGCACTTTTTTTTTTGCGAGCGCAAGCAATAACCCTAATCTTGATAATAAAGAAGATCACGTGCATTTTTACAGAGTGCAACGTGGAATTCGCGGATGGAATCGTGGAATCACTTCGAAATCGAACTACTTGACTGAGGCAGACATCATCGATCGATCGTCATTTTGATTAGCGGACACATCGATGCGACAGCGCAGCGAGCAGTGAGTGAAAATCTGATTTTTTTTCTCTCTCTCTCTCGAACGCAAAAAATGAAATTCGCATCGCGTAAAATTCGGAGTATATATCTCGTATACGCATTTAACTTTGAAACAAACACACGTCTGTGTGTTACATTTTGCTCGAAATATTATATTTTATTACGTCCTTTGATTCTCCGCGATAAGTTTGAAACTACTAAGTCTATTTCTGCAATTACTATCGCGGCAGACCACGGATAGCGGCACAGAAATTTCCGAGCGCGCGGTTTTCACGGTATGCCAACGGTATTAGCGTAATATCAACGTGCACGAAAATTTAACCGGATAATACGAGAGAGAGAGAGAGAGTAATAATAAGCTTAGCTATTTCCATTATGTCGAAAATAGCGACGGAATAATAGCTGGAATTTGCTTTAACGTTTTTTTACCTTACGATATGTTTATATATATATAAGTTTAATGCAAAATCTTTGTTCTGACATTATTCAATCACATGGTTTTACACATCGCTCTGTCTTCTTGTGATGTGTGACAGTCGTAACACACATTTAACTATGTTTTTCTCTCTCGCGTACGCGCGCAATTGTGCGGATCGCGTGAAGGATAAATAAATTTCGATAAAAGAAAACGGCGTGTTATCGCGCGACAATTTCCGGATTCAAAGAGAAAAGTGGAGAAAAAAAAATGTGCCAGAACATGGGTCGAGGATAAACGACATTGGGGCGCGTACGTTTTGCGTGTACGACACCGAGGATATAATCGCGCTTTCGAATGCAAATGTAACGAGAACCGCGCCGGTATTCCTCCGACGAGAACAATCGACGTGCGCAGCCGTGAGATTTACGGTCACAGTGTGTGTGTGTTTACTGCAATTTATTTTTGCGCAAAAACAGTGCTTTTCCGGGTGCGGTTCTATCCGACATCGGATGCGAATTAATACGCGGAGAAATCCGCGCGTCGTTATTTTCGCCGCTATTTATCATTATCTCCCGCGATTTATTTATCGGAATCGCGCATTCCGCAATCGGTCTTTCCGTTCGAAAAATATCGATTATCATTTCCATTGAAACGTTTGACTTCGCACAACAAATTTTAAGCTCGTGAAAGTTAACGACCGGCATAGTTAAAAATTGATACGAACCGAAATGATTGGATGTAGACGCGCAAATATATTATTTTTAAATGTTAAAATTAACACACTTGGAAATTCGAATTGATTCTCATTCGAAAATTTATCCCAAATGCTTAATTTGCATCTCCAATGTAAAATAAAATATTATTCACATTACTTTACATTCTCGCGCGAATGTTAATTTTACAATTTTCATTAACTTCGGAATGTTTATCAACAGAGTAGATAAATAAGTTTCAAGTTATATATCCGCCGATTAAATATTTGTTTAACTCTCAAAACAGAAGAATACAATACTTTTCTCCGATCTTTTCTCTTGTGACATTTATATAAATCGTTTGATTGCAAATTTTCTTAGCGTGACGCGCAGAGTTTTATGAAGGTTATAAACGAGATGTTCGAACGACGCGAGGCGAAGTTGGTGTATACGTAATCTTATTAAATGGATGAGGTTTACTGCGCTGAATACACACATACATGCGAAATATAGGTCAGTGGTTAGTCGTCGACGAGACCAAAGCGAACCTAAATCCGAGGGAGATGAATCGCGCAACAACAAACAAAACAACGCGCAGATAGTTGTGTTGCTAGAAAGTTGATCAATTTTTTTACCGTAATCAAAAGATTCAATGCCGCGTTGGCATCTTATATGTACGTGTGTTTTGTAGCGATCGTTAAGCTGATATTTCGCTTCCTCTAATGACAAGCTCAGAGAAAGAGAGAGAGAAAGAGAGGATAAATTAATCTTCATGTAAATGATCTTTCGGTTATTTAAAGGACTTCACGTGTGCGAGAAAGATTTCCCGCAGGGAAAAATAAATCCCTCTTCCATCTCACTATCGTTTCTCTCTCTCTCTTTCTCTCTCTCTCTCTCTCTCTCTCTCTCTTTCTCTCTCTCTCTCTCTTGCCTTGTCTGGATTTGATTAATTAAGGGATTGCAGGGAACAATCAATCGTTTCGCAAGGATAATAGATAGTTCGTATATAGATACGGTCAAAGTCTGTGAATGAGTTTGTGTGCCGATTTCGGATTTTGATTGACCCCGCGATCTTTGCGTCTTGATCAAAAAGACTCGTCTCTTCTTGTCACATTATATATCATTTGGAAATATTAAACATTTTTTTTTTTTCCAATGAGTAACGAGTATTTAACGAACTCACCGTGCACGGTTCTTCGAATTAGTCAAAGGATTGACCGTCTTTCTTTTTCGATTAAAATCGCATAATTGAATTTTCATCGCAAAGAATCGTAGACGGTCACGTCTACGATTGACCGTAATAATGACAATCGCAATGTTCGGTCGCGCGAAAGATTTGCAATGGTCGTGACATTTAATTTAGTAAAAGAATTATATGGGTTTTTTTTTTTTTTTTTTAATTAAACGTGTGAATTGTGACGCAAGTCAATTAATTGTTTCCGTTAATAAGCTTCTCTTTAATAATTATTTTTTTCATTAGAGGAAACATTTTCAATGCAATTTGTCGGGCGATGAAAATGTTATATTTTAAAAGTTCTCTCATTAAACTGAAAATCTCGAATTTCTATGTCCGTGCGCGCAAAAATTGCGTCGCGATGCACTTAACATGATTTTTTGACGATATCGTGGTCAATGATGAACGCTTCTTTTAACCGAATACGATTCCTGTACTTTGCTAAGCGAAGGTTCGCGCTATCATTTGTCGGGTCGTCCATTCATCTGTTCGTGGTCGGTTGGTTGGTTGGTTGGTTGGTTGGTCGGTCGGTCGGTTGGTCGGTCGGTCGGTCGGTCGGTCGGTCGGTCGGTCGAGCTTTGCCATGAAGCGAGACAAGGCTACGAACCAAAGCGAGATGCAACTTGCAACAGCGCACGACCACGCTCTCCAGCGACGAGAGAAGAGAGAGAGACAGAGAAAGAGAGAGAGACAGTGACAGTGTCAGAGAGAGGGAAGAGGAAACGCGCGGAGGGAACCCGGGAGCTCTATCGACCGACTTCTCTCATCCAGCATCCCAGCTACGGAGCCGTAGTAGTAGTTTTGCAGCTGAAATCTCCTCCTCCTCTTTCTCCTCCTACTACCACTATTGCCACTCTGTATAATTCTCCCGCCTTCTATCTTATTCTATCTCGGTATTCTGCACGAGAGAGAGAGAGAAAGAGAGAGATTCCCTCTACCATCCCCGGTATATTTCTCTTCCGCTCGCGCTCATACTCGGGGGAAGAAGCCCCGCTCTCTCGCTTCAGCCACGAACTCTTGACATTTCGCCGTACCAGTGCACTAGTTCTCTATCCC